GTCTTCCTGTGGGTCTTCTTGAATTCCCTCTTGCTTCCATGCTGTAGCTGGTCCTTGAAGTCTTGATTCCTGGTTCCCTTGGTGCCTTCCTGGAGCATCAGTTGTCTCCATCCACGTGTCCGTCCTTCCCGGGTTCCTCTTGCAAATTTATTTCTGGTATGATTCTTCCGCCATCCCTGTGCGACTGACGATCCTACGTGACTGCTTCTCTGAAGCCTGCGTCTCTTGTGCTGTGTCAGTTTTGCACAGCGGGTCAACTTCCGGCCAGCTGTGACCAATCTCTTCCTCTGGGATCAACAAGCTCCCAGAGTAAGTTCCTTCTTGACGATGTCTCTCCTGTGTCATGCCACTTTTGCATGACGGGACACCTTCCTTTCAGCAATGATTGCTTTCTTCCAGGATTCACAATATCCCCAGATCCTTTCTTCTTGCTGATCATGACGCCCTGCAGATAAGTTTCAGTCCCTATGCCACTTTCTTGGTCCTCCAACCGGCACCACTGTGGCTCCCTTTTTAGGGACCTCTTGTACTGACTCAGGTTCCATTTCCACTGAGGTAGTCTCCTCCCACTTCAGTCGTCGATGGCGCTTCTTAGTTCGGCTTGGTTCGCGTCCATCTTTGCCTGGTTGGCCAGAAGCTGTTGCATCATCTGTTCTTGGCTGGCTCTCATTTATTTCAGCAGGAGTTCCATCATCTGTTGTGACTCCATCCTGTAGCGGTATAATATTCGATGTAATCGTACTTCCAATAATTTGTCCTAATCCTATCCCACTTCTAACACCAGTTGTCATGTATTTCCTAGGTAAAGCGACGAGAAAGGATGGTTTTCTGACTAGATGAATGTTTATTGGACAATTATTTGTATACATTCACAAATATAATCACTTTCAGTAACACCTTTCACATTCCCTCTTCAGTGGCTATACTCCTGTACCGCTATTCTCGGTGGAGCCTTCGTTCTTGGTACTTCGGGAATTTATCAAATACATGTTCTACTTCTTCACAGAACCTGTCCTTCATATCAATTTTATCTTCTGCTGGGGCATGAGCATTCAGAACAATGATATCACACCAGTGACCTCTTAGTATTATGTATGACATGCTATCACTAACAAATTCTACCTTCTTAACTGCTGATATGATTCTCTTATGTCTGAAAAATCCTGTAACTAATTCGTGATTTTCATTCCCCTTTCCACAGAAAAATGTATATTCACCTGATGGTTCCGTGCCACCTCCATCCCATCTGACCGCCTGTATTCCCACTAAATCCTACTACATTTTGAGATTTCTTCCACCACTGCCCTGATGAACCTGCCCTATACATACATCTAACATTCCAAGAACCAAATCTCATATCCATTTTCTTTCACCTAGGTCATTTATCCACAGAATCCATTCAGTTCTGAGGCTTTTTGAACATTTTCGTAACAAACATATTTTCTTGCGGTGAGGAATGGTTAGCCCCATGACCAACCCCCAAGCTGGGCCACCCCTTGTAGGCTGTCCGCGACTGCTTATTCAATATATTTGCAGCTTCCCTCCATACCTGGAGGGCGTCTCCTAGATCCGCAACCTGAGGATGTGCCAAGCTGTGGTGACAAGGGAACCATGGAACATGGATCTACCTTCTAGGTAAAATTTAATTAGTTTAAGAGATGTTCTTGTTATTCCATAAAACTCTAATTTTGTTAATAAAATGTGATTAACACAATCAGGAGCTTTCTGTAAATCACAAAAGAAGCCTCCAACGATTATTCTGTTATTCAATGCATTTAACATCATGAAAGGTTCCAGATATTATAGATTTATTACAAACATAATTTGAAGGAGAATTGATAAAAGGAGCACTAACTAACCTTTAATATTTTTATAGAAACATCATCATAACCATGTGAATTCATTAATCTGAAAGACTTGATAATGCTTTCAATTTCTTTTGTGGAAATATTATTAAATTTTACATTAGGAAAAGAATTATGTGATACTTTACACAAGTAATATTTTGGATTTTTGTTATTACAAGAACCTTTTATGTTGCTATATCTAATGTCCTGAATAATTTTTCTAGCTGTTGATAGATAAGATTTACTAAAAGCCTAAGGATAATTTTGATATTTACTAATTGTATATCCTTTTAGTCTATTTCCTTCTAATTTTATAATATTCCAAATTGTTTTCATTTTATTAGCAGAGTTAGTTACCTGGTTATTGTACATTGACCTTTTAGCTTCTTTAGTCACACTTGATAATATTTTGCAGTATTGTTTATAGTACTGTAGCGTATTTGTGTGTCACGCTACAAATAACTTCACGCCGTCTTCTGATATAGCGAATTTATTACGTTCGCTCGCCTTACACACACTTTACAATCATTTACACTTGCAGTGGTACAATCACTGCTCACAATAATTCGGCGAGACACTGGACTCTCTTCTCTGGCGGTTGTTCCAAGACTGACTCCTTTGAAGGCTATTCCGGGACTGACTTCTCCGGCGGACGATCCGAGACTGACTTCTTAGCTGGCTGTTNTACGTTACAGTACTCTTTAAGCTGATAACATTACTGTTCCTACTAAGTAAATAAAGACGTTTTTATGATTACAGAAAATCCTTATACCAGTTGTTAGCCAATAATTATTATTACCTCAATCATTTTTTGAAGGGGAAAACTTGTATAAAATATTCTTAAATAATTATTCAGGAATGTATTAAATAACAAGTCTACATCCATGTTATCATTGTTACCAAAAATGATGTCCCAAAATTCATAACTTAGTCTAATTTTCAAATCTTCTATAGAATATCTATGTATGTTTCTGATGGTATCAATATGAAGTTTCAATAATTGTAGATTAACATATTTCACTATTAAGAATTGAGCATCATGGTCTAATATAATAAACTATACAATTTTATGGATATCTATAAATATATTGCCTATTGCCATGTTAGATCTATTTTGGACTCTGGTGGGGGAATATACTACAGCCAACAGTAACATAGCATCAAGTTGTCTTTTTTCATCCCCATTCATAAAATAATCTATATTTATATCACCACATATAAAAAACTTCAATTTGACTCTGTAAAGTGACTTGACAGTACTATCTAATCCAATAAGAAATTAATTAAAATTACTATAAGGTGCTCTGTAGACTGCAATTACATAAATATTAAGACGAGTAGTTTCTAATTTTAGTGCACAAACCTCAATGTCTTGATCTTTACAATACTTACTCAGGTTAATATTTAATAGTTCAGATTTTTATGAACAAAAATGCAAACCCTACCATTTTCTATAAATTTTGTATAATAATGGAGTTTATATAACCATCTAAATTAATCTGATCGAATGGTGTACAAAGTACACCACATACATTCTCAAGGGTTAAACAACACTAATACTCTAAAATAGGAAGGGGACAGCAACCATAGTACTACCAAACCTGTTACATCACTAACACACAAGCACTGGCTAGTCAATATCCCACTCCATCACAAACACAAGCACATATGCAATCTGAATTTATCACATAATTATTTCTTAAACAAAAATAGTTCAAGCCAAATTTTACGTTGCTCCACATTTTGTTTAAAAAGCTTTAATTTTTATATAAAATTTCTTTGAAAGTGGATTTATGATCTGCTTTGTTAAATTTATGGTCTTGTTTTACATTGTCAGTGTGAAATTCTATAACCTGATTGCTCATAACAATGAGATGCATCACACCAGATTTTATATCTGTGAACTACATAAATAAAGTTACAGTACTTACTACTTTTAAGCACTGACATCCCAAAAACCTCAACTAAATAGCTTGTTTAATCCTTCAAAACATATATTCAGAACTTTTTTGTGTTTCCTCCTGCTTAATGTTTATGGCAACCAAAACTAAACAGTGTAAATACTTTTCATTCACTTAGAGATTTAACACCTTCACAAGCTGGTTTCTTATAGAGACATCAGACTATTGTCTTGCATTAACAATGAAAGGCCAAATATGTTAAAAATGCATATTTTATATAACTGAACTCCAAGCAGCAGAGGCCTTACTGAGAAGCTGCAACTATTTTGTGGAGTGAGGCTGGGTCCACTTGTTATGTAGGCCACTAGTTAGCCTGTCATACCAGTATCACATCAAAGGTGACTGTAGAGCAGATGACGGAATGAGAATTGGCAAGAAAAAGAAAAGTACTTGGAGGAAACCTGCCCCAATGCCACCTTGTCCACCACAAATCCCATATAGCCTGAATGGGGATCAAACCTCAACCATTACAGTAGGAAAAGAGTGACTAACCTTCTGAGCTATGGCATGGCCTACTGAAAAGATAAGCTGCTCAGTTAGTCAAGAAATGTATTCATGTTGTGCACAGTATGTGGAAGGAGACCATGACATAATCTGAATTTTTACCACACTGAATTATAACTTCAGTGGCAAATATTTAAGCTGCCTCTTTTTACATGTTCTTACAATTTCTGTTCAGTCTTTATGATTATTAAAACTCCACTTTATAGCTCAAATTAGAAGAACTCAAAACAACATTGAAATAAAATTGCAATGCACTGCTGTCAAGTGTATATAAAAATGTATGGAACAGAAAATAAAAATATGTTTAGTCTGTAAGTTGTGTTGCTCAGTTACTTGATATTTTACCATATTGCTGGATGTATGTGTCCCTCTTTATCAATCCACTCTTAACAAAATCATGTAATAAATTACATTAAGTTTTGTCTTAGAAGAAATTTCTGTGAGCTTTGGTAAAAACAAAACTAAGTTCTGTGCCAGGTTAGGTAACATCTATTAATTGGAGGAACAATAATGTTTCTTTTCCAACTAAATCTCTATTAAACTATTTTAGGTTATGAATAATGTGAGTGGAATAAAAGATGTGGGAGGGTAGAGCAAAATCTTAATATTAGTTTTAATTTTAAATATTAAAACAACATAAACAGAACAGAAAATTAGGAATATTGAATCTCCAAATTCAGAGACTTACCAATTTCCATAAATGAGAACTCTTGAGTAATCCATTGGCCACTGACAGACTGCAATGAAGAGAGTGCTGTATACACCTTGATTACCAAACAACATTACTTCAGAAACTTTACGCACTTGCTGGTGAGGAACAAACGCCCACCAATGTAGCCGGTATTTGTAAACTTGGTTGAAAGTCATCACGTCTAACTCTGTTGTGTACGTGTATGACAATAGAAACTGGCCACATCTTGAGAGACCAAGGAATACATGACTGCCAAGAAAAACATACTTGATAAATTACATACAACACAGACATCACAAATGTTTAACATGAAAATGAAATATATATATATATATATATATATATATATATATAGCTTCCCTCTCACTACAAATGTCAGTCTAATCCACAAAATAAAAAATTACCCACTTGGAATCCAGTGCAGATTCAGGAAGCACATTTCGAAGGCGAATCTGGCACCGAGCCGGAATTTGACAAAAAAGCCTTAAATTTGCCGCATGTGGGAAGGAGGCAAAGTTACCCCTGATCTGCAAAACCAAAGCAATCATAATTTGTTCTTACCAACTGCACCACTACACTTGACAATGCTTTTAATGAACCCTACCTCTCTGTAATATAACTTATCCAATATGTGTGGTGTCCGTTTCCTATTTTTCTTAACAGTCTTTGAAGGTAATCTCGGATACGAATCTACTGACGATTCTTGGGAGTCTATCGAAGCAGAAAATACAAATGAAGTGGAGGACACCGAACTACATGACTCTTCTGAGTCATAAAGCTCCATGTTTGATGTTATCGGCTACAGATTGGTGCGGCACAGATGCGAACTTCTTTAGTAACCCCTGAGAGCATCACGAACAATTGAATGTCGAACATTATTTAACGCCATCTTACATTTAAACTCCACATGAAAGCGCGATTCGCATGTAACGAGCGATTACGAAGACCAGCGGGACAGCACAGGTCGATCCGTGTCGATCCGTGTGAGCAGGACAACAAGAGGTCCGGTTGCTTCACGATTTCAGGGCTAGCACATTATACAAACCCGCTTTTTAGCTTGCGTTCCTCATTTTAATAAAATTAAATGAGGCTTATAAGATCACTTTGCTGTCTGCCTATGTATCTGTCTGTGTCTGTCCATCTATATTAGTATCCCCCTTTCTTTTCGAGGCTTATGAGATCGCCTTGCTGGCTAGGTAACGGGACGTCTTTGTATCCAACTCCTAAACTTTTTGTTCCTTATGCAGTCCGTGTCACATCAAAATGGGCGATTAATTCTTCCCGCAACTTCCAATTAACCTTTAACGTCCGAAGTGCCCCGATCGTGCCAGTGATGGGTAAGTTTGTCGTGGCCAAAGTACCCCGTTTTGGCCAGTCGGGCATTTAAACTCCGTTAGTGGAAGTGCGCGCACACGCCGCTAGTAATAGCGCATGCAGTCCTAAATATTTATTTTTGAACTAGCTGTACCCGGCCACGCGTTGCTGTGGCTCAGTCTGGTTAAATGGAAAAGAAAGAAAAGAGAAAGCGCACGTTTCTAATATGTTTAATTTCACAATGCTTGTGGGTATACAATATTTTTTGTTCTTCCATTCTCTGTGCAGATATAGAGATTGTCTGGTTTGCCGACTCTAGAACACGCAACATATAATTGTCCATGTGAGAAGCAATCCGTGTCTAGATCAAAACCGCACAGTTCTAAAGATTGGCCCTGAGCTTTGTTGATGGCGATTGCAAACGCCAATTCCTTTTGTTTCTCCATTAAATTTCAGAGCCTTGCAATAAGGACACACTTCAGTCATAGTGCCGATGAGAACATGCCGGCTCAAACTATAATCTTCAGCTGGGCTGTACCGGAATGCAAGGCGATTGTAATCGCGTGATTTCTGAGCACGGAGTCGTCTTTGACGCTGATCTGCTGTTTCTCGTTGATGTCTTTCAGCCACTCTCAGCCTGTCGCGTTCAATCTGTTGAGAACGAAGCAGATTTGAAGATGCAGAACGCGTTCGCCGTGCTCGCAACCGTGCATCCTCAAGTCTGGCTGCACGTC